CTATCTATCTATCTATCTATCTATCTATCTATCTATCTATCTATCTATCTATCTATCTATCTACCTACCTACCTACCTATCTAACTACCTAACTACCTACCATGTTTCTCCAGCAATACGGCCTCCACCAATAGGAAGGTCCGGCATGAGGTGAAATTAAGCCCTGCCCCTAAAATTTAGGCCTATTAAAACCATGTGTTTCCCTGCCATTTCTCACATCGTTCATTAGAACTACACGAGGTGAAGAGAAATGAGGGGGAAGGGCAGGGCGGTGGGGAGCAAACCTGCCTTTAGGAGTGCCCTGCAGGTAGCCTAGGCTAGAATACCCTGATAGCTGATAGAAGCTCCCCAAAGGCAGAGTCCCCAGCCGCTTCAGGGCATGGCATGGCTGCCCGTGTCCCCTCCCCTTTAGGCAGTCTCTTTTGGGCGATGGAAGCTCCCCAAGTGCAGTCAACAGTCACTTTGATCGGCTGGTAGAAACGGCCTTGCAGTGAGGGGAGTGTGTGTGTGCGCTCGCCCCCAGACCGCTTCTACCGGCCGATCGAAGTGGCTGGTGACTGCACTTGGGGAGCTTCCATCGCCCGAAAGAGACTGCCTAATGGCGAGGGGACATGGGCAGCCACGCCTCGCCCCGAAGCGGCTGGGCACTTTGCCTTCAGGGAGCTTTCGTCGGCTGATAGAAGCAGCCTTGTGGCGAGGTACATGCATATGGGCCACTCTAGGTAGGGGAGGAAATTAAGTCACCCCCGAAAAGATGGCCTAGCTGTTTTTTCAGGGTCAAAAAAAAATAAGGCCTGGCCTTATTTTGTGAGAAACACGGGATCTACCTGTCTGTCTACCTGCCTAATTTCTATAGCCATCCACCTCTATCAATAACTCTGGGCAGCTTACAATTTTGAAGATATATTGTTTGTAGTGCATTAAACTTACATGAGATTTGTCTGATTTTGACTCAGGATGCTTTGGAAATCCAGCCAATTGTGGTTAATTCAACAAAAATGTGTCTAAGTAAATCATGGTTTGGTTTAGTGTGATGTGCAAACTTAGTCTACCTTCGTAGCAGCAGGCTGTCAGATTGGACTTTGAAAACTATAATTTGAGAGTGAACAAAAGGACTTTAAAAAGGAAGTATATCTTTACATGACACATAACATTTTTAAGGGTCCTTGGTGGTCTCTGAGCTTGATTGTTTTCTTGCAGATGTTTCATTATCCAACTAGGTAGCATTGCCAGTGATGTCATCACACTGATGGTGCTACCTAGTTGGGTGGTGAAACCAAATTCAAAGAGCACCAGGGACCTCTCATTTCAACCCTGAGTTACAATTTTCTGCTTTCAGATGTGCCTATGGTTGCTAATTTATATGGTTTTAAAAAAATTCATAGAGAATTTAACTACCCATGGCTGCTAGGCTCAGTAGCCATAAATTAATTCCAAAACCAAAGACTGTTTGCCCTTAGTAGTAGGTGCTTAAGTATAATAGTGGAAGGAAATTCTTATCCTTTTCTCCCATTTATAAACTTTCCTTCCTTGACTCACCTGGACAGACACTGCTGAAGAAAATGGACGTTTGGAAGGATCCATCAAAGTTTTTAGGTTCTTAAAAAGGAGACAGAGCTATAGTGTTAGAATTCTGGATTGTAATCATTTATGAAGGCCGGAGGTAGTCGTACTTTCAAAGCTACACACCTACACATTTAACATATTGGTGCATCAAAGAGAAAGGAAGGCTCTTCTTTTCTTTTGAAGGTTGCAATGCTATGCTCACTCTGCTGAACTCAGGGATATTTACTTCTGAACAGTTATGCATAGAATTGCATATGAAAAGAGAGTGGCATAATCTGAAGTATTTTCATACCGTGTCTTAACTAGGTAGACAGAGAGAGTCCTCATTCTAAGTTAGGACAGACTTCCCTGGGGCTACTTATGACCCAAATTCAAAATTCCAACAGGAGCTTCCTCCCCAATCCCCAGTGACACGACCACAATTC